TAAAGTAACACTCACAGCCACACCCTTTTCTACGATGCCTGGAATATTAGTCTGGGAAGAAATGTAATTAAAGTTATCAGTTATTATCGTTTATTATGAGAAATGTAATAGGTTTCAAATATTCTTCTAGGAAGTTTTTTCATATGATACTTTTTAATAATCTCTTTAGAATATTAAAATTTTTTTTTATGAAATAAAATTTAAAATATGACTCTATAGCTTGATTATTTATTAAATAAAAGATAAAATATTGAAAAAAAATTGATCCCGACCCACTTAAAAAATAGAATAAAAATAAATAACAGTCAATTACTTATTGAACAAAAAACATTTACATATTTAAAACATTAATTTGAATAGCCATTTACTATGTATATATCAGATCTTTTTTGTTGAATAATTATATACTGTTTTAGTTCATATCAGCATTGATGAATATTGTTTTTAAACTTTTTCATATACGAAAGATTGTTTGAGAACGAATTGCAACGCAAAATATCATTTACATTAAAATTTCCAAGTTCATAAACTGAGGTACCATCACGTTCTTTACGAAACCCTACGACACTGAGATTTTGATCAGAAGCTTCTGATAGATGTTTATCAAGTTTTTGATAAGCATCAATAGCACGTTTATCTTTCGTGCTTTTCCATTGTCCTATTTCAGCTGGAAGTGAAACTTCTTTAATTATCTTTGGTTTGTAAGTGCCATATCTATTAATATCTGATGTATTCAAGCCGAGACATCGATGTGTATGTGGAGAATCAAGCCAACATTCCATGTGAAGTCGACCTGCAAATGGAATTGGATCTCGTGAAGATGAGAACAAGCCATAATGATTAGATGAATATTGTCGTCCAATACTTCCCGTACGATTAATGTAGATATGTGCATTTCGTATTTCCGTTGGATCAAAATTATATTTTATTAACTTTATATTTCTGGATAATGCGTAATCACGTAATTTACAAAACAACTGTTGACCAATATGTTGATTGCGCACATCTGGATGAATTCCCGACATTTCGGCGTGCCAATATATACCTCCACTTTTTCCTGGCAGAATACCTGCAAGTGATAATACGAAACCAAGCAGAACACGCGAATTCTTATGATTATTGTAAACACCTAATACAATTCCACCTGTTTTATTAGCAATGAGAAAAGAACGACGAGGCATTATATCCAGACTACTTTGTTTCCACACTAATTTTTGAAGTGCAACACATTCATCCAATTCTTCATGCGTATTACACGGTTTAATCATAATACTCGAGCTCTTCGAAACATTAGTTGACGCATAATGATGATTAAAAGTAAATATTGATCGATAAAGATTAATGTTAATAGATTGACTATACTTGAGTCTATTAGATGTAGTCGATGACAAGTATTGAGAAATGCACTTGAACATTCTAGATCCGTTTGAATATCTGAAGACGAAATTTGTAAATATATATCTACAAGCAAAAAAACATCTTAGGGACAATAATACAATGAATGAGTTATACGAAGATTCTAGAATTTGGGACCTGAAAATATCATTAAAATGTTTTAACTAATAAAAAAAAATTCTATTCTTTATTGTACTATTGTAAGTTTGTGTAGAACCGGGGCTTCAATGTTTATTGTAGAACAACACGAACAAGGACAAGCGATGAAGAGAACGGGAAGAATACAACGCATATACGCATGTGTACGTATACCTATATATACGATCACGATAAGGTAGAATCCAATACATATATGAGAGGACAGGAAAGAACCATATGTATATGTGATGGAAAAACCCAAGGAATGTTCCAACATCGTCAGAGGGAATATACCCATAAGTATATCACTGGATATATTGGATATTACCTACAACTATTTCGTAAAATGATCGAATATGGATATAAATGTACTAAAGATCTTTTAATATCAACATACGCACGTGTTATGAAAGTGATGAGAATAAAAAGAAAAAAAGCTTATAAAATTCATAAGCTTTTTTTTGTAATCATCACTAAATACTGTACTGTTGTAAACATGCTGATAGTTCTACATCCTATGTTTTATTTTTCTTACCCGGATGGTTCTATTTCGATTGTTGCAAATGAATAAAAAATACAAAAAAAAAAGAAACAACAAACAAGTGAAACAAATCTCATATTTGCACTTTCTTTTAACATTGTTTTAGTAGGTTTTTTCCGGCATCTTTTTCCATGAATCATATTTTTATACACGGAAGTAAGAAATTCCAAGCGCTACAGTTTTACCCAGTACACTTAAAAAAACATGCTTTGTTATTCGTTCTTTTGTACTTATATGACTAATATTTCCAACGTTATACTATTACGCATTAATGTATACCACTCTCTAGTATAAAATATGAATTATTTCTTTTTTCTTTACATGACACATATTGCGTTATTTGCACCTAGTTAGTTCCAACATAGTCGCAGAATGAGAAGTAAATCAGTTTATCAATAAATCATTTTTATATTCTTTCTATAACAAAATAGAAGTAACATATATCTTATTGTCGTACAAGTAAAATACGAAAATGACGTAATGTTCTTCCTACAGACGTTGGATTTTTCTTTTCGTCCTTTCATTAATCCATAAATCAAGACTTCCTATAACATAAAATAAACTGACAATGGTATTTTTCAGTTGTGAAATCGCTTTTCTAATAAAGTCTATTGAGTTAGAAATTACCGACCATGCTAATCCCAAATATAGACATGAGACATATCTTTAAACCACTATATGAAAGAGTCAAGATAATCGAGTTTCTATATCAGAAAATTTTTTTCTTTACGGTATTTTTGTTTTGATATGTCTAGATTGTAGAGTATATCGAATTGTCTATGAAACAACAATTTTTTCTATTTTAAATCATTGAACAGATCTATTGTGACTGCATCTTGACAATCACATTGATTGGAATTGATAAATTTATTTATAATTTCGGCAACACGTTTATCTAATACACACTTATTTTGAGAAATTAATATTAAACAACTCTAATAAATGTTGAAGTTAATATTCATCACAGATAATTGATCGATATCCAATTAAGATCATAATAACAAAACTCCAGCTGGTAACAATAGTGCGTAATATCATCTACACGTGTTTTTTTTTTCATTTCTCTCTTTTTCTTTCTTCTATTGTCACCTCTTTATCTCTCATCGATAGCTCATATTACAAACGAATACGTTTTATTTATTATATAAACGCACACACATATATATATAGAGAGAGAAAGAGAGAGAGAAGGGAATCGAAGGTTTAGCTGAAGGTGTATGACACCTCTAACAATTGTGATAATTGTTCACACTCTACTAGTGCTTGATCTACTTTCAAGTAGATTCTTAGTATTTTGTATTAATTCTTCAATTTTTTCATATTGCATTATTTGTACTGGTACTTGCCATTTGATGAATGCTCACATTCTTAATAAATATAGATTAGCATTTGATAAAGAGTCAGAAATAGATTCCATACTGAATTGATCTATTTAAAGAAAATAATCGTACGATTCCTACTACCATCCTTGGTTACTATGAGAGCAGTAAGCAAGTATACTTTTAAACAGTTTAATATTTGTAGTAGACAAAAAAAATATGATGTTTTTTAATAGAGTGTGCAGTTCTTTATGAAAGTAAAAAAAATCAAAAATTATTCATAAATAATTATTTTGTATTGCTCTTTTATATTTAAACATATTATTTATACAAAAATCAGTCAATTCTTTAATCATATGTCATTCAGCTTTATATTACAATTCATAAATAACATGATACAAAACAAATATCTTAACCGAAAAATTGTTGCTCATTTTACATAAAATAAAAATTGATCAGACTGCAAGTTTTAATAATGACTATCCGCCAGTAATCCTAATATTGATGTGAAGTGAGTACTCTGTTATTTGCGCGTCCTGTCTACCATTATATGTATAATTTCTTCGTATCTTGCCTTTCCTCTTTATTCCGTTCTTCGTCAATTATATTTACTATGCATCACTACCTCAATATTTTCTTTTCTCATATGATTACTAACCACGTGCATTATACTAACATGTATTTTATGTTTTGATTGCATTGGCAATGTGTATAACTATTTGTCGTTCTTAACAAATATGAAGTCAGTCGATTTTATTCATCGTCGTCATATATTCTCCATATAAAAACAAAAACTTGAAAGACTTTATTCAAATAATCATGACATATCGAAAGATCGGATTTTCTATTTGTCATCACTTCCTTCTTTTATAATTTATTGCTGTATCTTATATTTTCGTGGTTTGATAAGTATTCCTGTGAAGGTTTTTAAAGAAACAAACGAGAGCATTAAAAATACTAAGATCAAATAAGAAAGATACTAGGAGTGATATATTATATCAAGTAGACACTTATAATAAAAACAATTAAAAATACGTTTATTTGAAATTCTCAGTTACAATAGACAATTCTATTTCACCATAATGAATTTCTCGTACAGTTAATATAGGTAGCGTTTTTGGAGTAATTGAGAAAAATTCGATTTGTTTTAAAATAAATGATATGATTTTTGCAGAATGTTATGTAGTTTTGTTGAAAATGTTCCACGGAATAGTATTTTGTCGAAAGATAATTATATTGTTGTTCTCGTTTACTTTTACAAAGAATGAATACTCAAATTTGATTTCTAAAAGTGAGGGATGAGAGTAATACAGTGCATGTCGATTCTAACTCATTTTCTCATCTGTGCTCATACTTACCGATTTTCTTTTTATTCTAATATCTATTCATGCGTGTTCTGAGTAAGTATTAGAGTTTCATTATTAATTAGAAAATACAAAATCAACATTAAAACAATCTGAGTATTGATAGTTGGATGAATAGATTTTTGAACAACGATGAAGTCTAATTTTTAATGAGAACATAAAAATATCTTTCTTTTGACTGTCATTAGGAAAGTTTTCTATCATAGAAAATAACGTATTCGATTTTATAGTAATCCACCGTCAATGCAAGAAGCATCTGAATCGTTCACTAATGGTGTCGATTGGAGTAACAGTGCTGAACCTACATCACATTGTTGGTTGCCTTACTCTAGCGAAACATCTTCTACTTCGCGTTTATGTGCTTGTATTTTGTGTAAAAACCGTAAATCAACTTCCGATTTCCCTCTTATTCAATGTGCAACTTGTTTATTAATCGTACATGCTACTCATCTTTCTGAATTAGAAGAATCTACAACGACTGATCATCACAGAATTCCACCATGTCGACCATCATTCGTAGATAATAACATAGCAGACAATGTCGATATGCACGATCAACACTATTGGTCACACGTTTCAACTCTTTCAACACCATGCACATATTGCAAACGTAAATCATCGGATGGTCTTGTATGCATGTGGTGTTCTCGAAGTTATCATCGGCAATGTTGGGAAAATATCAAAGATAACGAAGAGAATAGTAAGTGTGATTATGGTAAATTTAGGTAATCTTAGATGAACATTGTTAATGTTGTTTTGATGCTATTCTTTATTTAGTAACATTATTGTTCGTCCACAATGGTTGCGTCGTGTAGACGATTCACCTTTTGGTTTTCGTGCACAAATGCCGGCGTATGTTGAAATAAATGATACATCACTGACGCCTGTGATATTTTTTATTAATAAACTGTCTGGTGGCCAAAAAGGTCAGGAGATCTATCGTATGCTCGTTCGTATACTAAATCCTCGTCAAGTATTTTTTCTTGAAAACGATTCGACCATTACGAGAGCATTGAATATCTATGCGTCTCTTACTAATACACATATTTGCATATGTGGTGGTGATGGAACAGTTGGTTGGGTACTAAGTCATCTTGTAGATACATTTCCAGCATTGAAAAATCCACCAGCAAGTATTTTACCATTAGGTACTGGCAATGATTTATCACGTGTACTTTGCTGGGGTTATCAATATGCATCGGGACAATTGCTAAAAACGCTTTCACAAATACCTCACGCACACCCTACGATACTTGATCGTTGGAGAATTCATATTGAAACATTGGAAACAAATTCATCGAATGATGAATCTCTAAATAGACATCGAAGTTTTTTCTCATTTATAGATCAGCCGAAGTTTATTCAAAATGCCGATCAACCAATGTATGAAAATCATCATACACCAATTAATATGTTCTTTTTCAATTATATCAGTTTTGGATTGGATGCAGCTGTTGTACTCGATTTTCATGCTCGTCGAACACGTGATTCATCAAAATTCACGTCACCATTGAAGAATAAATTAATGTTCATAAAAGAAAGTCGCAAATATTTCAATGAATTCGCTTTTGGCATAGCATGGAATCTTGGTTCATACATACGTTTAATATGTGATGATCAAGATATGACAGAGTCCATACGACATTGTCATTCTCTTGTTCTACTTAATACTCGAGGTTTTGGTGCAGGTACTCATCCTTGGGGTGGAACGTCAGTAAATACAGTACCATCCCAAACGATTGATCATTCAGATGATGATTCTTCTAATCATGACGTTACACAGTCCACTATAAATCATTTTGAAGCACAGAATTTTGGTGATGAGAAGGTTGAAGTACTTGGTTTAAATACAATGCAGATGGCTTTAATTCATATAGGTTTTCGTGGAACACGTATTGCTCAATGTAGGCAAGTACGTATTGAACTTAGTCATCCGATGCCGGCACATATGGATGGTGAAGCTTTCTATCTGGCTCGCTCTACAGCTATCAACATTACACATGCTGGTCAAGTTATGGTATTAAGAAATGACAACAGATAACTTCAAATTTGTTTTACTAATAAAATATGTTACAGTTGTTTCTGTATGATTGAGTATTTTAAACGTATGTGGTTAAATCACATTTCTATGGCTGTCTAATATATATATGTACCTCTTCAATATTCATAATTACCTAAATGCATTTACATTTAGTTTTGATTAAATATAACTCTACAGCTTGATTATTTATTAGATAAAAGATAAAATATTAAAAAAAAAAATGATCCCCAACCCACTTAAAAAAAAGAATAAAAAGCTTAAGCATGAATAGATATAGTTTTTTCGATTAAATGTTTCATTTAACAGGCACAACCTTTGAATTTATTTTGAGTACATATGATATATTGATGACGATGATCAGCAAAATAACTCCACATACGTTTTACTGTAAGTGATGATCCATCAGTTTTTGTATCAATATCATTGACACCAACAACATACCAATCAGTCCATTTTCCACTGCCAACTGGAAACGATTCTATTTTAAATGCAATGATATCTCCACATTTTAAGGCTATATCAACATTTGTATCGAGACCAGCTTGTGCCCATCGATTTTCACCACTTGGATTTTGTATAGCTGATTGAGTACAAAGTGCTTGTGTTGAAACATCAACTAATGTTTGTTGACAATAAATATTATAGATGATGGCTGATATAATAAATAATATAAATGTTGTCTTCATGATGGAAATTGAAAATTTTATTTAATTCTTATATGAATAATTGTATACTCACGATATTTGATTTTTTGATTAGAATATGTTTTTATTTGTATGTATATTTATACCCCTTCGAACAGAGAATTAACATAGGTCTAAAAATAGTAAGATATTCATGACTGATAAAAATATCATACATTTTCTTGCTAAATAAAATACTTCCGAGCATAAATCAATGTACACAAGTGACTGATAAAAATATCATGCATTTTCTTGGTAGATCAAATACTTCCGAGCGTTAATCATTGTAAACAAGTGCCTATTTCAATACAGTTTTGCGTTCTTATTTTATATGCAAATCATATATTTAGTGATCAACATTCTATATTATTGAGTACATTTTTATAAAAATAATACTTCCGAGTTTTAACTACGAAATTAATAATCTTATATTTAGATTAATTAGAACGTAATACTAACAACATCATTCTTTTTACTGATTATCATTAGGAAGTTATATGAATGATTTTCAACATTGCAAGTATTATTTTTGTATACATTTAATCAGTACAAAATATCGAGATGTACAGTATATACTCACATTTAAGATTACAAGAATATGATGAGTCATGTTTTTTACAACTCGATTAAAAGTTCCTGTCATTCTAAAATGCAGTTTTGCCGTACTCTTTTTTTGTTAAAATGAGTGCAAGAAGTGGCCAAAAATCTATAAGACTAAATTCAAACATGTAGAAAAATCTCTAACACATAAAGATCAGTATTTCAACTACTAAAAAAGTCGACAACAGTGAAATTGATAAAAAAAAGAATATACTCTTTAGAATCAACTACACTATTTTTTTTTAATATTCAGTTTTATTGTCCTTTTATAACTAGGTTGACAATTAAAGAAAGGAATAAGATCACAGTTTAAATGTTCACATGCTGGAATAAAAGAGGAAAGCCTAGAGACAACAGAAAGATCGCGTAGTATGGAATTATAACTCGATCGACAGTGACATCTTAATTTATATAGAAGAGCAAACGACTAAGACACATTATTTGTCTATATAGCTGACCATATAAGAAGGGGAGAAAGTAGAGAAGAGAGAGAGAGAGAGAGAGAGAAGAGAAGACGAAAAAAAAGATCGATTCATTTCTTTTACATTTAGATTGCAACACACTTATTAGCACACATGTAATTCATTATTCGTCATTTTCACAGAAGGTATTTGTATATAAAATGACATAATAGGAAGAATGAGTGCCGAAAGTACTCATATTGCTGATAATGATTTATTAAGAAATCACAAATCTATTTTTGTATGTCTAGCTCTTTTAGATAACTGGTCGAGAAAGCTGTTATTTTTTCGCAGCCCAATTACACTCTATTATGAGTCGGTTGCTGATAATGATATATGCGTTCATCTATCTTGCACAATGCATATGAAGATAACTACACACCTATTATGATAAAATGTTCTTTTTTTTCTTTCTTTCATTCATCATCATATCACATACGGCAAACACTCTGTAAAATTTTATATTGTTTATAAATAAAAACCTACGAAACTTATATTTTCTTCCCATTTTTCGTGGTTTAATATGATGGTAGACTCTGCATTAAATCAACTTATTATTAATAAATCAAAATGTGATCATACTGGTGTTCATTTTCCAACCTATGTTCGTAAACAACTTAAACATGGTATCGTTCATTTAAGCGTTGGTAATTTTCATCGTTCACATTTAGCTTATTATATGGATATATTAGCAAGTGATTATGAACAAACAGAATGGGGTATTATTGGTATTGGTGTTCGTTCAGTCGATAAACCTATAAGTACAGTTATGAAAACACAAGATTGTTTATATACATTAGTATCAAAAGGAACTGATAAAACTGATATTAATATTCGAATCATTGGTTCTTTAACTGATTATATATTTGCACCTGAAGAACCTGAAAATGCATTGGCTATACTTATTCATCCTAATACAAAAATTGTTTCAATGACAATTACTGTTAGTGGATATGATTTAGATATGAATCATCCTGATATTCAACATGATTTACAAAATTCTGATAAACCAAAAACAGTTTTTGGTTTTCTTGTACATGCACTAGATGCACGACGTCGAAATAATGATAAACCATTTACAATAATGTCATGCGATAATGTACAACAAAACGGTGAAGTTACAAAAAAATGTATTCTAAAATTTGTTCAACATTTGAATAATGCCGAATTACTTGAATATATTGAAACAAAAGTGACATTTCCAAATGCTATGGGTGAGAAATATATTAAATACAAAAAGAAAAAAAACAGAACTTTTGTTTAGTCGATCGAATTACACCAGCAACAACTGATACCGATCGTGAATATATTCAATCACATTATGGTATTGTCGATGGATGGCCAGTAATAGCCGAAAACTTTATTCAATGGGTTATTGAAGATTCATTTTGTAACGGTCGTCCTCCACTTGAATTACTTTCATCATCACAATATAATGTTCTTCTTACTGAACATGTTGAAGCATATGAATGTATGAAAATGCGTCTTCTTAATGCATCACATACAGCTATGGCTTCCCTTGGTTTTCTAATGGGATATACTTATATTCATGAAATAATCTCAGATCAATATATTAAAACATATATCAAACGATTAATGTATCAAGAAATAACACCAACTCTACCACCAGTACCGGGTATCAATTTCGAGAACTATAAACAAACATTAATTGAACGTTTTTCAAATCCACATATCAAAGATAATGCATTAAGAATATGTATGGATGGTGCATCAAAATTTCCCAAATTTATTGTACCTACTATTATGGAACAGTTTAAACGAGGAAATAATCCTCATTATTGTGCATTAGCAATTGGAGCTTGGATAAGATATCTAGGTGGATATGATGAACAAAATAAACCAATTATATTACAAGATGTTGTAGCAACTGAACATAAACTTGATAAATTAGCTAGTAAAACAATACTTGATGTTAAACAAATTTTAAATGTTCAACAAGTATTTGGTGTAATCGGACAACATCAGCAATTTACTGATGATGTTGAACGAGTTGTTAAACTTATGTATGAAATTGGATCGAAAGAAACACTTAAATATTGGATAAATGAAGATGTAATTAATAAACAATAAAATAAATAAATATTAAACTCTGTATAGATTGATAAATTAAAGAATAAATCAACATTTCTATCTTTCAATAATAAGTATATAATATCCGATAGTGACTGAAGTCATTTAGATAATAGAAAGATTATTTATATGAATCTTTCTCTTATTAGTGCAAGAATTACATTAAAATCAATATAAATTAAATTTTTGATAAAAATAAGAGTAAAGGAATGTTCAAACTTTGACTGGTACATTCCAGTATTACCTTAAATTTGAATGTCACAAAAATATTTAAGTGTTCTTCAATCTTTTCTTTTATATACAATACTTCATAGCAATTTTTATGAGAGAAATACAAGAGTAACAGTTACATTATTGTATTTTTCTTCGATTTTTTTTAAGAATAAAGAAACCATAAGTATATATGACACATATATTATCGAAAACAAAAGAAAAAGGAAGAAGAAATTTTGAGAATAGAACATGCAGTTTAAATATAGGATGAAATGCAATACACGCATCCAATCGCAATTGTTTGTTGTCTAATAATACATTAATTCATTGAATTGGAATAATAATTATTTCATCATTTCCTTTAATGCAAATATTGGCTATTGAGTATTTGAGGGTGATAAGTATCTAGTTTGACTGATATCAGTTCTCTCTCAAAGTTAATTGTATAGTTTCTTATTCATATCATTTCATCTTTAAATATGGTAGACATTTTTATTAGATTAGCATCTTCTTGTTTAACAAATGTCTCGAGTGTTTTAATGTCATTATTTAATTTTCTAGATGTTTCAATATTGATTGAATATTATCTATTACAATTGTGCAGATAAATGTTAGATTTTCAATAGAACTCTACAGTGAGAATGCATTTCGAGAATTCATTGTTAACTTACACTCATATCTCTAAACGAGCAAAAGATAAGTTATCATTAGAGTGCATCTCTTTTTCTTTTCTTTCAATGTCCATGTAATACCATCGTTATTTACTTCTAACTCATAAATGATGATAAAAGAAAATAAAAAGCAAGTCATCCTACAATCTTACTTATTATTTTGTGTGCCTGTTGACGGCTTCAGAATATACACGGATCCGAAACACAATACAAAATTATGGCTTATCAGACGATCTCTACATTACCACTCGTAGGCATTGAAAAATATTTCTGTATAGATGGCGGTTGGTTGACTCTCGCACATGCCGCCCATTTGAGTGGAAATCATTCGATGTTAATCAGCAATGCTTCAAACGCTCTCCAATGTCTTTTAAAACGTCATTCTCGCATGCGCACACGTCTTCGAGTAGATAATAATCGATATTTTCTCGACAATCTTCAAGACGACAGTGAATATTTATCAAGTGATTTGTTTTTCTTAGCTATTGAAATAACCAATGAGTCTTGGCAAGAAATCGTCGAACGTCGATGTAATCAAGATCCATATTCAAATAATGGAACGGTCATTTTTCCAATGTTTCATTTTATGCTTTTATACAATTCACAACAGTCCGATGATCAGTTATTTCACTTAGTTCTCTTTCAGAATCATTGTGTCTCAGATGGTCAAAGTGGATTTATTCTTATTCATGAGTTTTTGACTTTAGCAACCACTTCGAATACTCTCGAAATATCAGAGCCACTCAATACAGAAATACTTCCATTACTTGGTCAGCTGATTCCTCGTCCATATGGTTTGCTCTATCATATCATCGCATTCATAGGCAAACACATTTTCATACGAGAATTACGCCAACTAACTCATCCACGCATTCCTGTCAAAAGCATTCCTCTCAACGACTGTCAACCAACAAGATTTAAAGTGCAGCGATACAAAATAAGGTTTCTGTTTGCTTCGAGTTCTTTGAATCTCTATTCCAAACTACATCCGCAATGTCGACTACATGGAGTGACATTAAACGGTCCGCTCATGGGATGCCTCCTATTGGCTATTCATCATTGTTTTCCATTAGACGATAACACTCTACTGAAGCCATTCGGACTTGGTGCTCTGTTTAACATGCGTTCGCGTCTTCCACAATCACCTCTCACACCTTCTTCAGTCGGTTACTTCGCAGGCACGGGTGAAGTTAAGCTCAAACAATCGCTTTCCATTCGATCTACTCAATTTTGGTCATTGGCACACTACTGCATGACTAATACTCAAAATCAACTGAAGCGAGATGGTGTTCCATTAACGATGAATATTTTTGCTGATGTATTGAGAAATGAACAAGAATTCGACGAAACTTGTCAACTCTTTCCAGAAGGACGATTTTCAGAACTTGGCTTTTCAAATATTGGTAAATATCCGTTTTCCTGCAAATACAATGAAGGTGAAGTACAACTGCAAGGTATTCATGTCATCAACAATATGAGTGTCTATCGTACTTCAACCGATATCTTTGTCACTTGTACAGATAACAAACAGTTAGACTTTGCTATGGCACATGAAATGGAAAGTGATGAAATGGCACAAGGTTTTCTTGACTATTACTTGCGTCTTATTGAACTCTGTGCCGATAGTGACCATTGTAAAAGTGAAACAACTCTAGATGAACTATTAAAAATGATGGAATGATCGTAAATATTGTAATCAATAGAGTATACAAGAATGTGTTCATAAAATTAAACAATAAAAAAGAAATCAGAATACATAATCGATTTATATATTTTTAGTTCTATTTTGTAGACTGTTCGAATCTGACAATGGATTCCGATGTTTGAAGATTTATAGTACCATAGATACAATTAGTTTTTTTCTGAATCAGTATATAATAGTTTTCTGATGATCATATACAAAAAAATCTCGATAATATATTATTAGAATTATTTAATGAAGAACATCATTTACTGAATGAATATGAAATATTTTACAATAGATTACATTAAAAAGTGCTTTTCGAAAAACTTTTCCACCTGTTAATGTGTAAACATAAAATGGAATTCCATTTGCTAGAAAACTCAAAAGAAGAACAAAAGAAAATATAAAATTGTCAATAGTAGTTTGTAATGTTGACTTTTGATTATTAATTGTCACTGTTGCATATAGCCGTTGAAGGACAATAGGAAAAGAAAATAAAGTAAACAGAATAATTTGTATAAAGAGCATTCGAAGAAGACGTTGATCTGTTGTTTTCCATTCTCGAGTAGATATATTTACTCTAGTAACTATTCGTTTATTATTATATTGTTGTAAAGGTCGAATGCGTTTTTTCATATGACGAATATTTGAAATAGTTTTAAAACTAAAAATATTCATTATTACTATAGGTAATGAAATAGTAATAGATGCATAAGTCATATCTACAAAAGCGCGACATAATTTTGTGTTACCAGAACATTGAAGTGGTACATTAGTTAAACCAATTTGATAACAAATAGGTGCATAAATGAAAAGAATCATTGAAAAAATAACAGTAATAATAATACTTCGTTGAGCATTTTTAACTGTACTCATTTGACGATAATTTGCATGAATACTTGTTAAAAGCCATCGATCAAGAGTAGCTAATACAACAAACCAATAAGCAGCTGTACGAGAAGGAAAAGAAATAAATATACGTATTTTACATAGAGAAATAATTGTGCTGGTTGGATCGAGATTCCATCCAGATAATATTCGAGTAAAAAGACCGGAAACTATTGCTATTAAATTAGAAACTGATGAAGCAAGAAATAGTAATGCACATGGATTTGATCGAAGTGGTCGTTGAGAGAGAACAAGAATATTTAAAATATTACCAATTAAACCGAAAAGAAAAACAAATATGCCAAAATATCGATTAAGATCATTTGAGATATTATTTAAAAAATCTATGTAAGATGTATTTAACGCCATTTCATCACATTAAAAATGAATATAACTTTTTTGATTCTTATTAGACTTCCGTAATCTTTTTTTCTAGTCTTATTTTTATCATGAAATATCTTCGACGTGGGCATATGATAATAATTACCTTAATTAATTTTAAAAAAAGCTTACCATCTAAGCCTACCTACAAAATAGAGACAAGAATTAATTGAAGAGTTGAAGAAATTATAGAATTCACTTTATTAATTAAATACATTTGATGATTACATGTATCTTAATAACATCTTTTTTGTACTTGTAAAACATTTACATTTATTCAATGACATTTTTATATTATACGAATTTTTCTGATTTATAGTTTGACAAATAATAAAATTTTCATTCAATATATTTTTCATCTACAATCATATCGTCGCTTATAGAAGAGCGAATAATCTTATAGGTATCTCTGTATGTGACCTGAGACGTGACATGATGAATTAAATTATAGAGAAATGTTACTTTGAAAAGTATTAAATGATAAAGTATGAATATCTAGGTATTGATAGCTATGAACTCTATAATACCATTCATCTACAATAATGTTATGTATTAGAAAACATCAAAGGTACTTGATTATTAGTCAAACTGCCTCTTCTTATTCGAATAACAACTACTAATTTTCTCAATACAAAGTATATATTTTTAGAATTAATCATCTTACATATAAATACATTGAGTAGATGGAACACACATGTCATCTCAACTCTAGTCATCATTTAGAAAAAAATCAAGCATCTAAACGTAATTCCTTTTATTTGAAATTTCCGGAAAGAAATGTATTAAATTCTTATCTTTTTCAATTTATATAGACGAGCAGTCTATTTTTTTTTCTTTCAACTTATTATATTTGATTAATCAACAATGAATTAATGAAAGTAAAAAAATTCTCGGTACAATCTCTATGGGATTACAAATGTGAAACATGTTGGAACGTTTTTATGTTTTGAATAAAGGAGTTCCGTAACAAATGTGTCAGATTTCCAATTATGATGTATTTTTAGAATGAATATGAAAAGAAGACAGCAAGGAAGGATTTTTAATTCTGTCAATTTTTTTCCAAGAAAAGACGCTTATCAAAAGTTGATTAAAAAAGTGTCATGAGAGAGATACAATACTTTAATACTCCTTTTAGTTAATGTTTAACAAAAGAAATTAGTTCAAGTATATGTATAACAACAAACCATGAAATATAGTAAATTTGTCTGTTTTTTTTTTCAAAACTAACTTATGAGATATTCGAATTTAACTAGAAGAAAATCTTGTATTCGAGCCATCATTTATTTATCATAAAAAAATAACAGAGCAGCACATTTATTAAATATAGAATGATAATCAGCGGAGCGTGTTGATAAAGAATTTTTGTACTCGATGATTTAGCGTGTCCGCAACGTAGAGGTTGCCTTGAAGATCGATTGCTAAACCAGTAGGACTATTAAACTGGTTTGCTTCATTTCCCTTACCGTTTCCGCCAACAACCACACGTCCTTTGTCTGCTCCTTGAAACCAGCACATAATTCTATGATTGCCACAATCGGCTACATAAACAATACCTGATTGATCGACGACCATTTGCTGAGGATTTCTTAATTGAGTCACATCATTTCCCTCACCTCGACCACCAGCTACGACAATGCCTGCTTTCGCTCCTTTTAGCCAATCCATCACCTACTCGCCATCGCCGAATTTCATGTTTTACATAGTCCGAAACGTACAGATATCCTTCATTATCCATCGCCAAACCTCGGCAATCCACATTTGAAATAATCTTTTGACCATTCATGGCATCACGACGAGGCCATCTTACTACTCCTCTGTTTACCAAACCACAACTGATCACACTATTTGTTCTTTTGTCAAAAATTACGTCTGTTGGGTAACCAATCTGATCATTATTTTCTAATGCTCTACTTCCTCTGGCAACCACTCGACCACTACTTTCTCCGAAGACCCATTCCATAATTCGGTGATTATGATAGTCAGCAATATAGATCGTCTGATCATCAGTCACATATAAACCGTGAGGTTGAGCGAGCTCATCAAGCTCGTTACCCGATTCCGAAGTGCGTCCAGCTATAGTAATTCCATCTTGTGTGCATCCATCATCAAGATGAATATTGGAGAGAAGTGGTAGTAGTGGTTGCACTGTAATATAAGAAAACTTTAGTATTAAACTTCTACAAAATCGTTCGCTATAAACAGATGAAGAAAGAAGCATGGAGTCGAATACTAAAGATCACTTAGTATATAGATTTAACTCGGACATTATCAATAACTACATAGATATCTATGAAATGAGTGTGACTAATAAAGAAAATATTAACAGAAACGAAAATGATATTTTTAGAGTTCATCTGTCAATGATCGATCACTTCTTTTTGCTTGTTGTATGAAGATAATAAAGAGATGAATATGTAAATAGTTTACCTTTCTGATAGTATTGCTCTGTTAGAAGACGCTTCAATTCTCTGAAAGTAGGTCGATCATGAGGTGATTTGGACCAGGTTTTCACAATAACAGACCAATATTGTGAACTACAATTCGATGGCTGAGAAAGTCTATCTCCATTTATGACTCTCTGAATAACATCATCATCACGTTCAGTTTTAGACCAGGGTATTTTTCCTCCAGAATAAGCTTCCCACATTAAAACGCCCATAGAGTAAATATCTGATTTCTCTGTATATACTTCAGGTGTTGCGTTCGCTAAAAGTATTTTTGGTGCAGCATATCGATAAGGAATAATATTTAGTGTTGTATGTGATGCAGCACTGGAAGCCAATAAATACAATTTACTATGTCGACTAACGAGGGAACGTTGTCAGGTGTTACCCTCGGATTTCAATTATTTTCCGGCCAATAAGTACTATGTAGTGCCCTAATAAAAACCCTAAAAGGATTTGAGTTGCTATTCATTCCTTCAAAGGTTATGGCCATTTTATTGAATTTTCGACCTGGTCCTGGGTATAGATCGAGAAAACCTAACTAACGAATTTCGACTTGAAATTTCGCCCATAAATAGATATAATGATCCTAAGAATATCCTGAAAGTTTCAGCCAAAAAGAATCTTCCGTCGTCGAGATATCGAATTTCCAAGTGAACTCGGTTCCTATGACCGATCTGCGGCAAGCGAGTATATTTTAAAAATTCGATATCTCGATAACGGAAGATTCTTTTTGGCTGAAACTTTCAGGATATTCTTAGGATCATTATATCTATTTATGGGCGAAATTTCAAGTCGAAATTCGTTAGTTAGGTTTTCTCGATCTATACCCAGGACCAGGTCGAAAATTCAATAAAATGGCCATAACCTTTGAAGGAATGAATAGCAACTCAAATCCTTTTAGGGTTTTTATTAGGGCACTACATAGTACTTATTGGCCGGAAAATAATTGAAATCCGAGGGTAACACCTAACAACGTTCCCTCGTAAGCCCAAAATCCATTACTTTTACAACAATTTTTTCTGGATCACTTTCATCGAAACGAAATACTAGAATATTACGACATGCTAAATCACATCATTGCATCAATAATTTGTAGAAAAATTTCAATAAGAATTTTTTCATCAGGTACTGTTTCACGTTCATCTAATAACTCGTACAAACTTCCTTCGGGTGCACATTCTTGTAAAAGCATTATTTAATCAATGTCATCATTCATATTTTTATTTCCTACAAAACCAAATGTTCGAACAACATGAGGATGACGACTTAATTCGACATAGAATGATGCTTCTTTGCTTGCACGAGCACCATTTATTTTTAAAATAAGTATTTTTGGTCGATTTTCATTTGTTGGTAACCATTCAGCGTTAAAAATCGATTTACCATATGTTTGAAATAATGGTCGACCTTTAGCCTTTTTCACATCGACATCAAGTATGAATTGATATTTTTTATTACGTGTTAATGTTTCAAAGTTATCAATTATTTTTTTAACAACAAGATTTGAATATAAATATTCCATAGATAAGGGTTGTCGCGTTAATGGACTCGAACCAGTTTTTCGTATCCATTCTTCAATTGCTACTCTCTCATATGTATGACCATCTTGTGCTAAAACTGGATCACGAAATAACTCTAATGTTAATGGACATAAAAGTGAATTGTCCGATGTACGTGTATCATTCAATGAAGCCATCTTGAAGTTCACAAATAAATATGACTAAAAGAAAGTTATTTAATAAGTTATATTGGAGATTTTAACTCTTTAATACTGGCGAAATCTTTCATAAGTATCATTCAGGAGAGATCTCCGATGAGAAGAACTGAAGATAAAATTCAAGAACTGTCACTCCTTGATTTCATCTATTATTTTACCTTTCTCTCTACTGCTTCTCAACTTTGTTTTTTTCGTTGTTAATAGTGTATTGACAGTGAATAAGATAAAAAACCTTAAAGCAAATATATCAAATACTTACATTTTTAATTAGGTAATATTTTGCCAACTTGACTATGAAGAAGAATGTATGACTCAATAAGGCTCTTTTTGACTAATATAAGTCCCACAAACTGACGAATTAATCTAAAAAATAAAATATTTCTATTTAATATTATTGCCTTTTACTTCTCATTGAATAAAATAATGAAAATTCATGAGTTTTATACAATGATAACCATAGAACTATTTAGAATTTTTTTTTTGTAAAGTAATCAGTTATGATAATTCTTTTAATAACAACATATTAATATTCATGTTGATAACAATGAGTAACTTGTTTTGTCAATACATTGTTTATGATTTTTGAGTACAAAAACTATCGTTATCGTACATTCTAAAAGCACGTTTTGTAGTTTGAATAGAACAAACGAATAAATATGCATTTAGTCGTTTGTATACGTAGATAAACAGAAGGAAGATAAAAGTGTTAACGACAATGACTAAAAGAAAAAAAAAGAAAATAGAGAGAAATAAATAGCAAAGACACACGCATAATGTTTATCCATTATGTTGGATAAATTTGCTGAACTTTATGATATAACTTGTGAATTTTTACTTCCTCTGTTTATCGTCATATTTTTAGATTGGTAGAAACTTGTAACTAACAAAATTAAAGATAACAATAAAGAGCACAGTAACTTAATGATATATACAGAATAATGAGTAGTATTGGATGATGACGATGGCTTTACTTTATATTGTCGAAGAGAATAGTTGAATGATATGTGTACCTTGAAGAATGAGTTGTCAATGAATTGATCACCATTATTACAAAAATAATTAGGTAGTGTTTTACTTTGAGCAAGACAAAGTCATTAGCAATTCCATGCTTCTTACCATTAACTAATCGAATGTATAAGATTATTGAAGTTTTAAATGTGTTTTTTTTTCATTCTTTTCCTCACGACACTCATTTTATGTTTTTTTCCAACGATAAAAAACAAAATATGTATTTTCGGTAATCATTTATGTTGTCAAGGTCGAAAGTTAACTACGAAAAAAATTATGCTTAAAACGGAACTACGGTGAAAAAACATAGCCACGATAAATAAATGACAAAAAGTTTTAGAAAAATTGAGAATATGAATACGGATAAGATGTATTAATGACAAACCACACCCACATTCACACCTTTCTTTTCCAATGTTTCATTATCATGAAAATGATACGAGAAAATAAAATATGATATTAAATTGTAGCTATTTTGATTTTAAGAAATTTCTAATATCGTTTATCCGTGTTTCGTAGAGGCATTTATTATTAAGAAATCGTATCAATTTTAATTTTATTAATATGTATTGACTATAATGTTACTTTCTATACTTTTTAAATTAAGATTATATTTATCAAGAAAAATTATTATCAAATATTTGGAGTTACAAACTGATGCATTCTTATTCGCATGAACTAATATTTGATTAGCAAGAATATATAATTTTTCAATGAGTAAATATGTCGCTCGATTCAATCTTCTAATGTGTTATATAAAAAAAAATAAAAAAACATGACAAAAAAAGAATGACGAGAGAAAACATTCTTCAAACGCATTTTTTTTAGTCGTAATATAAAAAATATGAGAATATTGAAGTTAATAAGGTGTCAAAACGTGTTCTGTTTTATTGCATAAAAGCACGTGGTTGTGTTCTGTTGCATGTTAATGTTTTGATATATGAGGCAGCATACAGGAAAGAAAAGTAATATCTAGGCAAATTATAACAACGATAAGAAACGAAAAAAACCGAAGTCAACACATACGCATAATCGAATACTCACGAGTTTTTTTCTTATTATTCATTGCCGTCGCTGAAAAGTAAAAGGTTTGTTGTTTTGCATCACTTCAATAAATTGAATGTAATTTATTGAAAAGAAAAAAAGACGAACTCATCGAATTATTCATAAAAAGAAACTTTTTCTTATTATAGTTTGTTGCAGTTAAGTGTGAGTCATTAGTAAAATATTTTTCTAGAATATAAAATAGATATCTATCATGTAAGGATTCTTATCAGTAGGATTAACATCGCTTTCTCGAATTACATCAAATAAATTTTGCATATTTCTGTTATTTTTTGTCAGTTTTCTTATCTCGTTTAACTATTATTACAAAATTTTAATTTTTTTCTACCAGTCTTATTTTTGAAAATGAATCGCAATATAAAATATCTATTTTTTTTCTTTTCTCTATAGCGGCTGTAAGAATGGGTCAAGAATTATTCGAAGTTCATTTAAATACAGACGAACCTATTGTAATTACATCTGAAACTATTACATCAACGGTTGGTAATGATGACATCAGTTTATTTTTTTCTTTAAAAAATTCTTCGGATTTAACAAAATCTAATAACGACAATCAAATTCCAAATTCTCAAACTGAATATATAAAACAAATTCGAAATTATCTATCTACACTGACAACACCAACTCAATGGGAAAAGCTCAATTCTGACATCGATGATATACTTACAAATAAGGTTTTTCCATCTATTACAGAACAAAATAATAAAATCACGAGCATAATTGATGATCGTGTCACATATAAACAACAACTTGAAACATCATTGACGAAGAAACTTCAAGACAATAAATATATTAATCTTTCAATATTTGCACAACCATTTAGTAATGCTACATTAGATAATACTAATCAACAACAAGACAAAGATAAATATCAATCTGATCAATTATCATATTTTGCTATTCAATCATTAATATCGATATTATTACTTCTGATAAAGTCTGCTGAGAAAAATGATCCTATAATTATTCAACAGATATTAATCTTAACAGGACAATTATGTGAACAATTTCCAGTCAAATGTTTATCTTCGAAAAATAAATTTTTATTTAAATCATTAGAACCATTAACAAATTATATTCATGAATTATCTCTAACAACAGATCCAACTATTTCAAAACAAGCTTTAAAAATTTTACTTAGTTTTTCAATTGCAAAAGGATCTTTCAAAGATATTTTATCCTTATTAAATAAATTAATTTTCAATACAAGTGATATTTATCATGTACAAGGTCTAATCATTCAGTTGAATAATGGCCTTACTGAAGCTATCGATGAATGGGAGAAACAAAATGAATTGACAGGTAAAACTTCTAATAAATATTATGAGCTATTAATCTTATATAGTAGACATGCATTTAAAATAGGGTGTGTAGGGGGAGCGATTCAACTTTTATAGCCACACCCACCTATACTAATCGATTTTCTTTTAATTTTAGAATTTTCTTCATTGAATTATTTAAAATCCATTAATTCATATCCAAATACAGAATTAATAAATTTAACTGATGATTCATTTACTGGTCAATTTATTTCATCTATTATTTTATCACATATTGATATTGAAAATGAAATAAATTCACCAATAAAAAATTTTAATTTAAGTTCATTTTCATGTGAATTTCATGTTAATACATTTAAAGATTTATTTCATATTATTGAACAATTATCAACAATTATATTATCACAATCAAATAATACAATCATTCATATTCTAACTGTTTGTTTAAGATTATTTAATACACATTTACAAATTTTATTTGATTATCATAATGATATATCAACATACGCTTCTGATATTGATTTAAAAATATGGTTTGATTTATTATTAAAATTATCTTGTACTGAAAATTTCGATAATATTTCTATAAATAAAGAAGCATCAAAAGCATTTATTAATGTAATTAATATACAAATATTATCATTTAATGAAAAACTATCTTTATTTCATAAATATGTCGTTGAAAATAAACATTCAATATTAATTCAACAAATATTTATTGAATTAAATAAAACAGAAACATTATTGGATTGGATTGAAATATTATGTGATGAAAATAAGAAATTATCAGCATTGAATATTTTATATTGGTTTATTGATTTTCATTTTAATGAAAGTGAAGAAACAAAATCTGATATGTTATTATCATTTCAAAAACTTCTATTATATCGTTTATGTGAAAAGAATAATAATACAAATCAATTATCTTCACTTACGACTGCATATTTTACTGCTATATTCAAAAAAAATTGTACGAATAATGATTTATTTAATTCAATTCTTATTATTTTATGTTCAATGACAAAAAGCGATGAATTTTATCAATATGAATCTATTCAATCGATATTCATAGATATTTTACCATTATTAACAGAATATTATTTAAAAAATCAAGATAATGAATTTATTTGTTGTTTAATTGGTAGAATAAGTCATGTATTAATTATTGGTTCACCACAAGATTCTCTTGAAATAAAACATTTAAATAAATTAAAATTACCTATTTTTGCTGGTGGATGTACAACGGATAAAAATAATTATTTATCTAAATCGAATCTAGCTATGTATAGTCAATTTCAACAATCAAATAATAATATCGAAGATGATAAAGATTTTCTTATGTCAATTTATAATAATACTGATGATGGTGCACGATTAATATCTAAATTAAAAATGTGTATAAAAAACAAACAAAATTCATTACAAAAATCCATTGAACAACAAGCAAATGATGCATGTGCTGCTGTATTTGCTGTTTATGTTAAACTTTATCGACGAATAAATCTTGCTAAATCCGAATTATTACGTACAGATGAAAATAAACCATATAATCAATTATTATCTATTTATGAATATGCAAATCGTATTCAAACATTATTTGCTACTATTAAAGGTCAAGGTGGTGATTGTAATGAACTTTATAAACAAATAAAAAGCAAAACACTATTTCTTTTATTATCAGTTAAAGAAAGTGATTTAATACCAATCGTAAAAGAAGATGTATCATCAATTGTAATTGATAATAAACCAAAAAAA